AAACTGGCACACGCTAACACACAACCGGATAAATTCAATCTATAAGTACAAATGTCGATCATGCAAAATGTTTGAAATTAATCTTACTAACCGCGGCTTAAACATTTACTTAACTAAACTTAATACAAACATTCAAACAAAGAGAAGTGTCATTGTGTAAGCAGATCTACCAAATATGATTGGGTGACCAAAGGCAATTATTCTCCGATTAAACATTATTTTGCAATTGATATATCATCCTTTTTCTGTTTTACTCTTTCGTTTTCAATCCGAAGCAACTCTTTGAGATAATATAAAAAGAAACGATTTACACAAACGACTTGAGCTAAATAATCCCTTTAAAAAAAAAAAGAGAATAGCGAAGAAAGTGCATTATTCCATTATGATAATGGCATAATGGTTTGGCATGAATAAAGAAGAACCGACAGAGAAGCTAATAGAGAGAAGAGACGCAACAACAAAACCATGGACAGCGCATTGATGCTTAATACACCCGCACACCGGTGTGCCGTTTGCGTGAATTGCTTATTTCAACCGAAAATTTATTCGCCACAAGCGATAGCCAATATTCCAATATGACTTGGCTTGGCTTTTAATCAACAATTTTCATAATTTATTGTTTTCGGAATGCGTGTTTGTTGTTTCATCGTTCGTAATAGTTATTTTCCCTTTGTTTTTTATTCGTTTGGCAATTTTTTTTTTCTTCTTCTTTCAAGACTCACTGTTGCAAGATTACAAAATATTTAGTATTCAAAATACCAAAAATGATGCACACCCGACCCAATGTTTCGAATGACAAAAAACTCTACAAGCAATGTTATTGATTTCGACATACAAATAAATAAAGTTGAATAATTAGGCTGTTTCAGCTGTGTACACTGCAATGCTCGTTTTCATTTTATTTCATCTTTTGGTTAAATGCCGAACACAGCAAACAAACGAAACATGTTGCAAAGCATTTCGAGGATCATTCAAAATGCGCGAAAGAAAAATCTATAAGAAATTCGGAGAGGCACTTTGTGCCGAACGAAAGAACAGAAGAAGAAAAAAAAACACTGTTTGTGCACTTATTCGCAATCTCATTGTGAGTCGAAAAGCGAATTTCCGATAAATGTAAGTGCTTTATTCTAGTTGCGCATTATTGGATGGAGATGAGAATTGGTATTATTTAAAGTGAAAATGATGACGATGGAAAATGAACAGGATTCAAAAAGAATGGGCACAGCCTCACAAATTGTTGATTTCGAATAAGCGATACCGAAATCACCCGCGTAGATTCCAACCGCGATAATTGCACTTTGTGGTTGGTGAAGAACGAAAGAGATAAAGAGAGAGAGAGAGAAAAACAAAGCCAGAGAAAAAAAATCGAACCAAAGTTCAAAATAAAAATTACTGTGAAGCCATGTGCCAAAAGTTAAATGCTTAGCAATAATAGTGTGGCCACAAAGATGCATGCACATAAATAATGATGAATGTATTGTGAGCACTGACAAAGACAATAACACACACGAACACTTATCCAACTACCACCTACAATTCTGAAGCAGAGCGAGACAAACATAAGAGAGTGAACACACACATACATACAAAATGCACAAAATGTTAAGATTTGATGATAAAGTAAAAAGATAAAGAAAAAGATGTCGATTTACGCGAATATGTCGATATCATGTGTGCACTGATATGGTACAAATAGAGGCCGCGCGCTCATACCATCCGAATAAACTGTCGATAATAAAACCAAAAAAAAAAATATGATGAATCGACGACCACGATGATTTTCCAAGTATTGAATATGTTAGATGTGAAGTGTATGTATCGGCTGGAATGCGAACTGCGACTCAGATGTTGTTTCGTTGTACATATTCTCATGCACATCGATATCAATAAGTGAAATAAAACACTGGCACACTGTGGCAAGCAGTGTTTCAACCAAGTTTTATAGTCGGTCCGAATCAGCAAGAATGAGACAGAAAACGTAGAGGCTTTAGCCGAATGAAGCAATAAAAAAAGATGTTCAAAAATCGATTTTACAATAAATCACTTAACAGTCGGTCGTGCTGTTTTGTTTTGATATTTAGTTTGTTGCCGATTTCGGTTCAAGTTCGTTCAGCGATTTATCTGTCCGATTTTCTATCTTTTGATTTTACAAAATAGCATATATCACAAAATCCGTACGTTCCAATTTACACATTTTTTTTCTTCGATTTATGCCCTGGTAGCGAGCAATGTGGATCGACTACATGTGGTTTTCTTACGAGAGAAGCTGGGATAATTTTAAGACCGACTTCAATCGATCGCAAAAATGAGTACAATTCGGTGGTATATGTGTCATGATAACTTTGTGCACCACACAAAATACTCCAAGAGGGAAGTTTGCATAAATTAAATATTGGCTATAGTAATCGCATTTTATGCACGATTCAATGTGACTGATGTTTATTTGTTTTTTCTCGGTTATTTCCGTTTTTCCGTTCATCTCTTGTTGCTTTAACTTGGTTTATATTTTAAGTTATATCCACTCGTTCCATGTAATATAAACGAATCTACTTGAACGAACCAAAATTATTGGAAAATGTTGTTCAACTTTTTGCGCTGACGACTAGGAATGTTGTACTGTCCTTGAACATGACGGAAATGATAACGGAACCGAAAGAGAGGAAAAAAAATCTACCTCTCGCCATCAATGTTAAGTGGCCCCATGGCCGAGAAGACACAATATGGTCCGCCATCAGCGAAAACTTTTGCTCTAAATTATAGATCTTCACATAATAGTCTCTTTAACACTTTTGGTTTGTGCTTTTGTTTTGAATCGAAACAAACGAAATGCTCCGATACTAGATGCAAAACTCTTACCGCACATAATCATGAATATCGTATAGCAAGCCATAGCCATCTGTCCATTGACTTGAAACCTTCGTCAAAAAATTTATTTGATATTTGTTCGAAATATTTCAATGGAACGAAAAACAATCGGCCACTTTATAAAATGGGTTGCGAGAGAGACACAAATTTACGGAAAATATTATTGCGCCTCGACTATGAATGAATGTTATAGATGAAGAGCGGAAGAAAAAAAGAGAAATGACGAAAGGACAAATAAAGAAAACGATTTACCAAATAATCGAAGTTAAAAGTGAAAAGGGCATGTAAAATGGAGTTGGGTAGGTGGCAATGCATACATGTTGTGAGAAAAAATAATAATATAAAGTAAAAAGCTAATATTTGTGCTAAATATGACGTAGAAAATGGTACACACAAACAAATCGAGCCGAAAGTTAAACCAAGAATGAGGGTATGATAAAAGTTGTTGATTTCACAACAAACAAAAATTTTATCCACATGAACATTGAACATATTCAGAGGGAATCGAACATAAAACTGGAGAAAATCGAAAGTGAGAGCAAGAGATAGAGAGAGAGAGAGAGAGAGAGAGAGAGAGAGAGAGAGTGAAAGAAATTATGGTGATGAAAAATGAAAGAAAACAGGCATCAGCATAACTTTGGTAAATAAATACTGGCTCTGTAAAAAAAATCACACCCAGCCCAAATGTGCCAACTCATTTCAATGGCACATGACTATGGTTCTTCAACATCCCGTCAATTTCTCTTCTCCATTCTATGCAGATGATGAATTGATTTGGAGCGTTGAATATAAAATTTATGTAGTTGTAAAAAAAAAACAGTGAATTGAAGAAAAGCTGAATCGATTAAAAATTATCTCGGCGAAACATGTTTAAGCTCACGAATATCGATAGATGATGGAGCGAGAGTGAAAAGAAAAGAAAAAAATCAATCTGTTGAATTGATAAACACCCATTTTAGATGACGACGACGACGATGAAAATGATGATACACGCATACACTCACACACTTTATAATAAGAAAATATGTTCGTGTTCATACTTTTTGTTAACTCGATACCTTTGCATACACACTCAATACGCTCGTATAATTTAGATTAAATTATGTTCAATCTTTACCATTCAGGCGTTGAATGTGTGTGCGTATCAACATCCTACACCGCTAATCGTGAGCAAACACCATGCCATCTCAGCATAATAATGCTGCATGCCTTTCAAATACACACCGTACACAATCACCATTAGTGTTGCGCGCATGCATGACAAACCAGGCGACATACATCGACACATACACATATCGGTTTATGTAGTGTGTGTGTATAAAATAGGAAACGGTACAGTAGCAGCCACAATGAAAACAACTGAATTAAATACACATTCAGCAATAATACGCATTCACCAAACTTTAATGCGTGTAAAGAATTGCTAATTAATTTTCAAAAGTATGGTCTACGATTTCCGCGTCCTCTGGCATACAGTATGACGTGTTGGTTTGTATGCCCTGTGCCTACAACAAATTTTCTTCTTTTTTTTTTGTATTTTGCCTCTTGCGCTTTCAATTTCTTTTTGTTATTGTTTTCTTATGCTATGCAACAATTTACGAGCGCGAGACGTCGAAACGACGTTGAGTAGACATAGACATTTCCACTAAAAGCGCCTGGAACGAAAATATTTTTCACAAACAAAACAATCATTAGCATTCATGGATTTGTTTATCTTTTCATGATTTCTTTTCGTCTCCTCCTACATTTGGTCTCGATTCCATGAAAATGATCTATTAGAATAAATTGGCAGGCGGCTAAAGAACGGAAGAAAATGCGATATGCTTCTAGGAAACAATGTTATTAAGTTGGAAAGAATGAATTTTTTCCGTTTTCTTGGACATTTAATGTGCCTGCGTGAGTCGCAGTATAAATATACTTTATAATAAACGGAACAATTGAAACAAAGAATAGCTATATAATTTAAAATCAATTTTAGTTTTTTATTTGACGGTTTGTTTTACCAAACACATACACATTGGAATTAAATTGATTCCAAACAAAGATAATACAAATTCAATTTTCAAAATTCATTTTCCCGTTTCAACTTTTTCTAACCTCGTTTTTTTTCTCGTTTTTTTTTTTTTTTCTCATAGCATTTCCATTGATTGAGTAATTAGATGTAACAACAAAGTCGTAAGAAGGTAAGTTTGAATCAATCAAATTAATTTATAATAAAGACATCCAACACAAATCATTGATACGATGCGAGATACGTTTAAAGTTTGATACTATCAACTTGCAATCAATCGAATTAATGTATGAGTGGGTTTGTGGGTATAGTCGTTCGATAAATGCCGCTTTGAGCATTTCACTCCATACCAATCTTACACCAAAATGAATCTAACACAGAGAGAACAATAGAAAATTAAAAGATTTATCGGCATCATTTCCACAACCATTTTTGTGGTTGTCTCCAAATTTGGATTAATCAGAGATTTATTTCGCACACTCAATTGGACATATACCATATAACAATCGGAATCTAATGCTAATATAAAAAAAAAACAAAGAATCAACGGAGGTTAAAAAAGGTAATTAGCCGGCGGATCGCGCATGGTCTGATATAATCAAACCACCATTTTACATGTTCTTCTAACGATATATATCATGATTGCGTTTATTCAAATCGTATAGTTCAGTTATGTAATATTCATTTCTGATATGTTCAACATTTTTGGGTAGAACTTGTTTGTTTTTCGTTCATACATTTCGATAATCAACATTATTTGAATCATTAGCGTTATTTTCTGAAGATAAATTGGCTTGAATAGTTAAAAAAACGGTTTTCGTTAGATCGAAACTATTTTTTCTTGTTTAATCACTTATTCATTCCTGAAGTTGCCGCTGAAAATAATTGACATTTATTTTGATGGGGAAAAACATTTTCCATACATATTTTTAATACTCGGAAATTATTTATGCCGAAATTTGCTGAGGAAAAAAAAGTTGGTTGAGTATTTGCTATTACTTACTTTGTGACCCGGACAAAGCCATTTTAATTTGAAACAAAGCTGCGAAGGATCGATAAAAAAGCCCGAATAAAATGTGATCGCACATTTCTTCGGAAGAGTTTTTTTTTGCGACAATGAACCATCGAGACAACAGTCATCAAGACTTGAATTAGTGTAGTCCAAGTTTGACTGGATACGAAAATATTCATCGATAATGAAACTAAATTAATTATTATATGGATGCGCTATTTCGTTCTACTGATTCAGATGTTAAATGACGTTCATGGCTATAAATAAAAAAAACAATGATATTTTATTGAAAACAAACGCATGCGAGAGCTCTGTGTATGTAATGCGTGTCAATGAGAAGAAAGAGGAGCCAAAAAAAGACAGAGAAATAATCAAAACCTACACTCGACACGGACTATTTTTAACCATTCAAGATGGTTAATGTTTAATTTCTTTTTGGTATCGTGTGCCTTTTTTTCCTCTCCAGCCACAGTTTGGCCCGAAGTTTCATGTATACTTCTCTTTTTTTCGTAACTTGAATAAACAAATGAATAGAACTGAAGCAGAATCAATATTTCAACAGCTCTAGTGAAGAGTATTTTCAATACAACACACACACACACACATGAAGAAAATCTTTATGTGCCGTAGAAAAATGGACGACGACAGAAGAGCAAAAATAACAACATCGAAATTCTTCGATTGTGCACATCGTGTTCACTGTTCATGATGTATATGATTGAATTGGAATGGGACATGTCTATGGTTTTCTACATTGAAGGGCAATTTGCAAACGATTGGCATGAAACAAAACCAAATCGATAACAAACGGCAACATTTCCAGAAACTGGCATTGCAAACGATGAAGAAAAAAAAAACGTGTATACTGTATACCGAATGAGTTTATGTGCATAAATATCAGTCAAAAAACCTAGTTGTTGGCCACACCGTGGTAGTTTTCGTCAACAAAAAGCCAACAACTACACAACAAAAAAATATTGACCATAAATTTTTAAAGGGATGTTCATGCACATTTGCCCGGTAATTGGGTTTGTTGGTCGGTCTATCGGTTGCTATTTTTTTTTGGTTTAAAACATATTCGTGGCAAATGTTGATTCTATCGTTTGATATCAATTCGTTTCGATTCAAACACAATTACAATCGAAGAAGAAACAAAATCGAAACATAACTCCCCACAAACGAGAAAAAAGATAGAGAGAGAGAAACATCAAACCACAACAACAACACAGACAATATTCAAAATTTACGTTTGCATTCGGCTGATCAACAGAATGGGTTCCATTCATGCATCAAATGTCGCCATAAAAAAAAGCGTTGTTTAGTATCCATTTCTCGAAAATGTTTACGTGGTGTGTGTCATTTTGCAATGCTTCTGTTGTTATTTTAACTTTTTGCTTTATCTAGTTGCAATGTTGATCGTCGTTGGATTTTTGCATTTTCGGTGCATGCATGCAATGTTCGCCCCACACAATGTATTATATCTGATTCTTTCTTTGCATTCGGACAACAGTTTGATGACAGTGTGTGTGTTTTTTTTCTCGTCCAAATTCACGTTTATCCGTCGTATATATACTTCTTCGTTTTGGCGTATTTGATCGATTCGTTTTGCTTGGTCAACAGGAAACAACAATACCTACAGACACAAACAGTCTATTTTGTTCTATATATCGAACGTTTGTACATTTTATTTACCCATCATGAACTTTGTACATGTTTAGCTTCAATTCTTAGGGGCAATAAAAAAAGCGAGTGTAGCAAGTGATTTGTGTCGTACACCAAATTGTCCTGCATACATATATGCCCTGTATACATTCAATTTATAATTTTATAGATTTCTTTCATGCTTCGCATTCATATCAAAGTGCGCTTTCACTATGCCAATCGAGGAACACTGCCACTCGAGAGTGCAAAACATACATACAAGAGGAGAGAAACAACGAATGAAGAAAAATTCGATAGTTATACGAATAAAACTACATATTTTTGAACATATTGTGCATACTTGCATTTATATCCTGCACTATTTCAATGCAGTTTCTTTCGGTAGACTTACTTTATGCATTTTCCATGTGTTTTTATAGTCGTTTTTTTATTGCAAAACCTAAATCAAATAACTATCGATAACATGATTTTTATATGTATTCTACATACTTGCCATTTCACTTTCTTCACGGAAAAATCAATCGGTAGGACAAAAATGTTGAAATATTTTGACATAGTTCATCAAAAAAAAAAATGGTAATAAAAGGAACATATTGATACACGCAATGGTGCACTACCCAAAACTGCTCAGTAGTAATGGAACGATGGGAATAGTTGCTTAATTTTTTATGATATTGAATCCCCCTATCTATTTCATACATGTCATTGACAAGGTCTGGTGATCAAGAAATACACTCAAATCGATTTTGAAAAATACGTACATACATATTAAATGAATAACTGAGAATGAAATACCGTTATACACAAAATACATTGATTCAAGAGTCTTAAACAAATATTCATAATTATCCTATATGTCAGAGTTTTATTCTCAGCCATTCACACATATTATAATCGGTTATTTCGGGCCAACCAATACCCGTTCTTCACACTTAATTGTAGGCCGATTACAGAATATTAGAATGGAATGTAATCCATGTCTTGAAAACATGCCGATTTGCTTCGATGAGGCCTAACTTTAATTGTTATTGTTTTTTAATGAGATTGGAGGAGGGGAAAATCAATCGACAATCAAATTGGAAAATTATATTAATTGCTATGAATAATATATATAACAAGTAGTAATTATGTGGTGATCAAGAATCAGAGTCAACAATGAAATCAACGCCACGAACAACCACCGATTGTTATTTGATGATAATTTGAAGGAGTGAAATTTTTATTTAACGATAACTTCAAATGCACTAGACGGCAGCCAATCAGTAATTTGACCATCATAATAAAAGTAAAGAGAGAAAACTAATAATAGCATACAGAGCGGCAGCACTAACAACAACAACACAAATGATGCAGTTTTATTTTGCATTTGAATTGGCCACGCGAGCGCCTGTTTTTTTTTTTGTTTAAATGGGCAATCAGAAGCGACGCTAGAAATGAAACACACATTAAACATGTTGATAGGGAAATTATTTTCTACTTCAGTTGAAATGTTTGCCCTCTAATTTGGGCGTTTGTCGGGCATCGGCATTCTCATCACTCATAGTCGATTCAAAGCGTCGTCACTCAACATATAATCCGCGTATAATAAATAATCAAAATGCCATGCACAATCCAAATATATAAGACACGAACCAACCCAAAAACAACAACAACCGAAATGTGTCAGAAATAGAAAAAGAGCCAATGGAAACACACATACATCGAAATATATTATTTACTGCAACAACTCTGCATACGTATTTTTCGAAAAATTTGCTAATTTCACATTTTAGACAAAGTATGAAAAAAAACGAACCGATGAAGATTACAGTAATATTTTATTTAAATCACTTCTTTTGATATATTCGTTGTCTTTTATCGCCTCTTCTGCTTTCTTTATTCATTCATTTGTTTGGTATGCAACAACGAAAAAAAAACTAAAGTCAAGAGCTGCTCTTCAAACAAAAAGTAACACAAACTGAAAGAGAAATAAAAAGAGTAAAGAGAGACAAAAAACAAAAGCAGCAAATCCTTCCAAAAAAAAAGAGTTTCGATGAAAATTATAGCTCTGGCGTCATGAAAATCGGAAACTTGTTGTTGGACTTTATAATTTTTTTTCTCTCCTCTGGATCGCCGCGTGTTGTTCGCATGCACTGTTTTTTTTTTGAAGAAAAAAAAACGAGGGAGCCAAAATTCAAAAGATATAGGGCTACATGTGTTATTATCAACTGTTGTTAATTAAAAAAAATAAATAAAAAAATCATATGAAAGCGATATAACCCCTTGAACTGAAACTCAAATATAGCCAATTTTTTGTTGTGCCGGGCTGCAATCAATGTGATTAAAAGATTTCACCAAAATGCCCGTTTATATGAATGATCCTTCGTCGTTTTGATGTTGGTCTTTGTGTTTGATTTTCTGCCGACTGCGATGCTATCATCACCAAAAGTGAATTTCAATTTGATGGCCAAACGATTATCGTTACGCTTATAGAATCACCAGAAAGATCTTCATTGAAA